GATGTCTTATTAGTAGTATTTCAGTTCCTTTGGTCCCTTTCAGTGACCTCCAGATGGTCCTTCATTAATGAAGAATTCATGGAGCTGCTGAGATTCCAGAAAAAGGCATATGAGGAAATATGTGGACAGTCGCTTTATTAATTTGCTGAAGAACAAAACTGGAATGCATCTGTTTTGCAGTCGTGATTATTGATGAGTGCCGTCTATATCGGTGCTGTATCATAAGATATCCTGGATGTCCTGAATAATTTTCATCTCTGCCTTTTCTGACAGGGGAGAGATCAATATTGCCTGAAGCCAGCTGATGTGATGATTTGTTGGTGGCTGCTGTAGTTGCATCTAAAGCTCATTGGAAAGCATGTGTTCTTAAGAAAACAAATCATTTTCATTGAACTATTTTGATACTAAAATGTCTAATAGAGATATTATTCTTCATTTAATTACCTACCTGTTTAAAGACTTCAGACTTACACTGCTTGGACTTTTTTATATAGTCCTGTACATCTTGTTTATAGAGCCTCAAAAGTATCTTCTTTTGGTACACAAAGCTTGTTTATGCAGTACTGTGAATTTTGCTGATTGTACTGTACAGTACTGTAGATTTATGTTCTGTTACACACAACAAAACTGCATGTCAGAGATATCCAAATAAAAGTGAAGTCATCAACTTGGAGTTTCCTTTGACTGTTTCTGTTCTGGAAAGTGTAATGTAATACTATATCAATTCTTCATTTAGTGACCAATTCATTCAACAATCTAGAGGAGGGAAAGGAATTCCGTCATTAGACAAGGAATACCTGCAGCTGCTTTATGATGTCAAATCTGTGGAAAGCTCAGGGTTTCCCATTTCCCTCTGCCTGAGGGACCTACAATGAAAGATGACACTACTTTACTGAGTACTCAGTGGACCTCGTTCTCTGTTTTTTTCTGGGTTTCAACTATTGTTTTCCACCCTACGTCTCATTTAGCCAAAGAGTTAGAGACATTAGGAGACAGATTTTTTCCGGGGAGGATTACTCCCTATGGCTTTCCTGACTTTAATAGTCTCTCCACCTTGTAACCCCTGACGCTTAGCTTCTCATACACAGCCTGGCAACTCATTCCTAACAGTAAGCACTTTTGCGATGCTTTCTACTCTACCATGGAGCTTGGAAATGTCCTCAAAGCAAAGGTGACTGAATGCCACAGTGAGTGGAAGGGATTCTCTGTTTTCAAGAAGAGACTTTACCCTTGCTCCTATTTTTTTTGTTGTTGTTGTTTTTTATTGACTGCTTCAAACTCATTTTTTTAAAAAAATATTTCTATAGAATGCATAATTGCTATACATGTGTGATTTATTTTGGTAAAATCTATTCTATCAGTACTGAAACTGAAACTCTAAACAATAAGTGTATGCTTCAATTTACACAGCCAATATATTATTGTATTTAAATTTTAAGAGCGGTATAAAGTCAGAATCTAATTTATTCTACTTCTACGTTCTGAACTTATTTTGAAATGTGTTTGTGTATATAAAGACATTCATATATACATACATACTTATAGTGTCATAAAACTTTTAGTATTGAAAAAGTAATGAAAGAACAGAGACTAAAGTATAAGTTTTTAAACTACAAAATCAGTGCCTATCAACCATCTGCAATTTGTTAACGGTCCAATATTTCTGACTTAATGAAACATGATCTCCAACCACTGTTTCGCCAAGTGTAGTGGTGCATATTTGTAATCCCAACATCTAGGAGGATGAGACAGGAGGATCACCATGAGTTTGAGGCCAGCCTGGGCTGTGTAGGTGAGACCCTGTCTCACAAAAATAAGTACATAAATAAATAAATAAAATTTAAAAACCCAGGAAAACGAAATAAACAAACAACAACACTACCACCACCACCAAAACCAAGTAATCTGTTTGGCTCAATCTTGTGACATGTATTCTATGGAAACAAAAGTGTTAATCTTAATTATTTGTAAATAAATATGTTTGCCTCTCCCTGAAAAGGATTGGGGTAACTACTGTTGTTGATGAATTAAAAGAGGGAAAGCAGAAAACATTTAAGGGAAGTGTGTATAAAGAAAGTCACAAATTGGCCCCAGTTTTTTTCCTACCCTTCCCACATATTACCTTCCTACCTAAATGTAAAGAAAACCAGTATTTCTGGCCTATAGAACAGAATTATAGAAAGTTGTCATAGTAAGCAGAGCGTTGGGTGAGTGTGTAGGAAAAAGTTCGTTGCAAGTTTAGCAGAAGACAAAGATGTTAAAAGAAAACTGAAACACTCATAACAAACCAAGCTGGCCTAGGATCCTGAGCTATAATGCCATTTTCCTTTTTTTTTTCTTTTCTTTTTTTTTTTTTTTTTTTTTTTTTTTTTTTTTTTTGTACCAGGGATCAAATTCAGGACCTTGCACTTGCAAATCAGGCAGTGGAACCACTGAGCTAAATCCCTGGCTATACTATCTTTGATGTAATTTTCTTTCAAAAAGCATTTGATATTTCCCATCTTAGTGCTTTCTATAATTCAAAGTAGGAAATGTTTATGAATTTTGTAATACATTCTAAAAATAACATGTCCTCGTTTCGTATTTGGTTTTAGCTTACTCAGATGCCTGGCTTTCTATTTTTGATATCCTTTATTTAGCCTGTCTTCCCACCTTCACGGATTTAGTGTACACAGCAACTTCAGCAGATTTGGGGATAGCTGACTTCCATTAATAGAAGAATGACTAAAAATAATAATAGCAACTAACATTTATAAACCTGACAGTGTGATGGGAGTTCTCTAAATTTTATTTCAGTCTTTAAATGCAAAAATCTCATGCAGTTAGTAATGTAAGTGTGGACTTACACAATTTGCTTGAGGTCAAACTAAGAAATAAAAATAGTAGAGCCACAAATTCAGGTCTTTCTGACTCCAAAGTCAACAAATTTACCAAATGCTACCATTGGTTTTGAACCTTAAAAACATCCAAAGACTTTGCACATGACAGTGGCTTTTAAGGGCATCAATGAAGACTTCTCCTACAGGTAATTGCAGATCTCTGGTCTCTCGAAGGATGCAGTTTCTTTCCCTGGATGGTCTGCGCTGAACAGCGGGTGGCAGTTGGGGCTGAGGGCTTCCCAGCAGCCTTTCCGATCAATATTTTCTGCAGAGAAGTTCTCTGAGGTAATCGGTCATACAGAACTAATGCTCCTTTGGTAGAAATAGTAGTCGAGTGATTCAGCCCGGTCTTAATCAATGTTCCCAGTAGCCTTGAGATTCAAATTTTAAATTTCAATCCATTGAATACAACCAAAAGAGAACAGTTACTGTTCCTAATTTAATACTGAAAAGCACACTGACACAACACTGTTAGTTCCAAGTCGTTTTTTATACTGATAAAACCTACATATATATATGTTTATTATATTCTCATCTTCACTTTCAAAATCTATTGCCAGTCTTGCTTTGCTCTGTAGGACTGAACTGAGCGCAGTTGGTCTATCTTCACCATTTCCTTTGGAATTTGGGATCCTCATGGTTTTTCTAGTGGAAGCACAGCACAAGAGTGGAGGACAGAGGAAAAGGAGGAGACAGGGTCTTCCTACCCTACCTGTTTCCCTCAGGTACGCTCTTTGGAAGCATCCTCTGTCCTCTAGCACTCACTTGCAGGTTCCCTTTGATCCCAGCTTCCACTGAGGGCAAGTCAGAGACCCTAAGAACTGATCTCAGTTACCTGAACCATGTGCCTCTACCCGGAAAGACCTCTGGAGGGTGCCTTACCTGCTCCCCATGCCCCTGAACAGTTCTATCACCTGGGCGTCCAACTCCATGCATTCGCCTCTGTCTCACTGACACTAATACAGATTCTGCCTTCCTGTGATTTGTTCGATAAACTTTGCAATAAGTTATTAATTCTGAGGAATACTCATTATTAGCTGCCAGAGAGTAGATCATACAGCATACAGAGGACCAGGATGGGGATAGGTGGATGTGGCTGTCAGATTTGGAATGTCAAGTAAGGACAGCACACTTGGTTTACACATGTTGCTCTGCTAAATTTACATATTTATTTTACACTCGAAATATTCCTCATTTGTCCACAAACCATACGGTCACTGTATGAGCACTAAATTCAATCTGGAAGGACAGTTCCAAGACTAAGTCTCGAGACTCTGGTCTTGAAAGTAGGGGACACCCTGCTAAAGGTCCAAGAGACAGTACAAATGCATGGCAGCCTGGGAGAGCAGAAGACCGACTAGGCTTAGCACCTACAAGGTGAATGACGCCAGGAGGACTCGTTCAGGAGTGAGGCAGATGGAACCACGTAGATGCAGGTAGAATGAGGAAGCCAGCAAAGCAAGAAATAATGAGGACCGACTGGCTTCGTGAACCAGATACAGCCTCCCTTAAAGCAGGGATACCAAAGTGAGCAGGAGAAATGATCCAGACTCTGCCTGGATTCCCTTCAGAGAAAGTTACCTGAAGATGATTCAGCACACTCAGCAAGGATGACTTAGTGCTCCTATGTGCTTTGAGTATTCCGCGCTCTCTGTTGAGGACGGCCCTGGGCATGGACAGACCTGGAAGGGCTGCGGAAAGGGGGCTGGAAACTCAAACAAAAGACACATATTTTAAAGACCTGTCCACCCCTCTTGGGATTTCTTTTACACAGCACTTTTCATGGCCTAAGAAAGGCTTTTCTATTTCAGCTGCCAATCAGCTGAATATTTATTCCGTCTTCCCCATCAAATATTATTTTTAAAGCCCTGAACTATGGCAGGAGAAGAGAACTGTTAAAATAGATGGTTACTTCCTACAATTTCAGGAAGGGTGGGAAGTCATTGAAAGTTTCTTCAGAATTATTCATCAACCTCTTTAAAACATTAATCAGGTCTAGAGTTGCCTGTGCCAAGTACAGATCTGCTTCAACAGAAGAACGGTTTTACGTAGAGTCACATTGATAATCCAACACTGCCGTGACGCAGAGCACGTACCATCTCCTCTCCTTCTTTTCCTCAGGTCTTTTCTTTCTTCCCTTTGTTCGCCTTTCCTCCCCTCTTCCTTTTCCTTCCCCTCTCCGTGTCAGCTCTGTCTCTGGAACGTTTCTCTCCTGGCCCTATGGTTCATTATGACAGTGTATTAAATGGCAACACCTTACTTCTCCACATTTACAATGTAAGCGCATATAAACATTTGTGGTAAAAAATCATGGTAGCTTTAGAAAACATATGTGCTGAGATAGAACATGGAAAAGTGCTCTAAATTAATACAAATTTGAAAGACAGAAGGAGCTGAAAATGAGCACATCTTCACTGCTATAGCCTTTTGAAAAAATGAAATATTTTTTTCAAATGTTGGTACTACAGATATAAGCCTTTTCTCTTCACTGCCTTATAAGATAGTAGTTTTTCCAGGCATGTTGCTATGTGCCTATAATCAGGAGGCTGAGGCGGGAAGGTTACCCTGGTTCAAAGCCAGCTTGCGCTGCATAGCAAGACCCTATATCAAAAAAAAAAAAAGGATATTATTTTTTGTTTTTTTTTTCTTAACATAGAAAACTGAGGGTTGGAGAGATTAATTTCTTAAGATAAAAGGAAAATAAATGGCCAGATTATTATAGTAGCTTATCTTTCCTTCAAGCAACTATGTAGTAAACCAAGAAAGAGTTCAGAGAAGTGAGTCACAGCAATAACTTCAGATTTATTATAAGTTAACCAGAAAAGGAAGAACGTTCAACAGCAGTAGAAGTAAAATGATAAAATAAATACGAATAAATAAAATAAAATTTAACATAAGATAAAAATAAAATGTAAGGGGTATTTCAGTTAAATAAATGAGGAATATTACACTGCCAACAAACATTATTACTAAACAGCAATATGTAGTGGAGTGGGGTGGTTTGTGCTTTACTGTGCTTCTGATTTAATAAGCCGTATGGTCCCTGTGTAAGCTGTTACCATGAGAGAGAAATGGTTCCTGAAGATTTGCAGTCTCCAGTCACAATGCTGTCCACAGAGCCCTGGAGAGCACACGGCTTGAGGGTGCCCATCTCCCCGGGCATTTCATAAACTCTCCTCTAAATGCATCTTGTCTTCTGGGGCCCAGAGCAAAATTGAAAGAAAATACTTCATTTGCCAAAGCCCTATCGCTATTTAGAGGAATCTTAATGCAAAACATCAAAATGTTTCTCCAAACAAAACGCTCTCTCCTTGTATTTGTCTATAGCTCCAAAGTTAAAAAGTTTTATTCAGAATTACAACATTCCGTTTGGCACTGGGAGGGGCCACATAAGCATCCTCACCGCAAAGTGATTGAATAATACTTGGTGCCCAACCACAGTGACTGTAACTGACATTTAACACCACTTTAAAGTTAGAGCATAGTGAACAAAGATGTAACAACATTTAAAGCAGTGGTGCTCATGAATTTAAAACCAAGAATGAGTTTATGGTGCTTGCAAAAAAAAAGAAAGGCTGAAGAGTAGCTTTTAGCAATGCCGCTGGATTGCTCAAGCATGATGTGTCAGTGTCCCAACGATGTGATGTGAGGATAGAATACTTCCTGAGCCTTGCAAGCTTTCTCTGCACAGGGCCAGGTACGAAATAGCTTGGGTTTTCCTGCCAGATGGTCTCTTTTGTGATTGCTACAGCACAAAAGGCTTCATGGACTTACTTAAACAAATGTACAGGATTATGTTTCAAGAAAACTTACGTACATGCAAACCACAATTGGCTGATTTTTGTTTAATGTTAAACTTTTTAAAACCTTATCAGATACACATATCCCTTGCATAGCACTGTGGTGGGTTTTGATGCTAATAATAGCTTCTGAGGAAGTGGGCTTTTAGTTGTCTGCTCTTTGTATAATCCCTTCCACCATTGATTCTAAATTAGACCCTCTGATTCAGTTTGGCCAGTGGTAATTCAGAAACTGTGGCATAACAAATAAACACTTGTGCATCCGAGAACTTACCTGTCCCGTAGGAAATAACTCATTCTAGACCACTCAATAGTGAGAGACCCTGTGGGCAAACAAGCCATGTCAGATTGTGGGTGCAGCTTTGACAAGCGCATGAGGACTTCCTGGCTCTGTTGCTGGATCCCCACAGCTATAAGAGTGAACTCAGAAAACACCTGAAGGGTAGAAAACACCCGAAGGATCCCTGCTCCTCTGAGCCCGGCCAACTCAGAGTTGTGAATAACAAACCACTATGTTCTGGGATGACTTGTGGTATAGTAATAGTTGATGAAATGCCTTTGACTAGAGATTACCTAGATAATTCACCTTACACTTGAATTGAATGAGGTAACTCGAGATCAGCGGAAGTGGATTGCACTGGGGCCTGCCTGGGATTCTGAGTGAGGATTCGACCACTCTACTCTCACTTCGCTCACCTGCACACTGCAGGCAGCAGGAGCGCACGAACTCTGCTCTGCGTGGTCATCATCTTTATCACGGCACTGTCGCGAAGCAGGACACGCCCTGGACACTGTCTGCTTGGTATTAATACGCTGCAATATCAGCGTTGATATGTGGAAGTGCTAATTCCAGCATGATTTTATACATTTCCAACTGGCGGACCAAAATACAGACATGTGTTTAAGAAATTGCCGAACATTGCTCTGTTCCTTTTCGAAGCAGTTCTGTTGACTTATGTAAACAGCCAGGAGCACGATACGATGCGATCCATGCACCCATGTGTTCTATATATCAGAACATTTTTGGAAATATAACAGGCTGATAATTTTAAAATGGCACAATGAAGTGTTAGTTTACAATTCTTTAAACTAGTTACATCATTTTACATATTGATGGAATTTTAAAAATTTTTAAATGATTCGCTTTTGAAAATCACCAGCTCATTTTTTTCTCTAGGTCTCCTCAAACTTTTCTTTCTGGGTTTTGAAACAGATTGAATATTTATTTGCTATTTTTTTCCAAATAGTTTCTCTCATTTTATGTTTATGCAAAACATGATATTTTGTCTTTGGGGACAGGCATAATATTTTTGTTTTTATATAATAAATTTTAGTGTTACAGTGTTTCTTGCAATTTTCCACTGATATATCCTTAATCACCACATATATATTTTAGATAATTTACTATTTTTTCTTTTATATTTAAATATTTTATCCATCTAGGTATTTTTCATGTAAGGCATAAAGAAAATTTTATCAGCAAAACTGGTATTCTGTTTTTGATTTAGTTTGAATATTTTTTTTAGCCCTCACCTTACATCACTTATTACAAATAAGAGCTAGTTATATAATTACTATTTAATTTTTTCTTCACTACTCACACTTATTTGGAAATGTTTCAAAATTTGATTTTCTTTCTTAATGTTCTGTAACTATAGATGTAACACAAAATTCTCTTAATTGCTGGAGCTTTATTATACATTTTATACTCATTAGCTTGTCTTCATTCAACATTTTTTCTTCTAAACTTTAAAACTCTAATGTCACATAGAGATTTTTATAGATTTTTCCATATGAACTTTAGAATCAAATCAGCTAGCTTCAGAAAAGGAAAAAGGCTTTTTTCTCTCTTTATTATATCACATCATGTTTGTCACTTAGAGAAAAAAATCATTTTAGTTGTTCTAAATCTTCCTATCCAATAACAAAACGTATCTTTCCATTGATTTATTTTTTGGTATTGGGGATAGAACGTGGGATCTTTCATTTTCAATTAAGGTGACAGAAACACTGACCTAAATCCCTAGCCCAATTTTTCTTCTTTTTTTGTACTTGGATCCTTGAACTTGAACTTGAACTTGTGAAGTAGGCGGCAGACCCACTGAGCCAAATCCCCAGCCCTCCTTCGATTTATTGACATCTCTTTTTATGTTCCTCAAAAGAAACTTCAATTTTATTTGTGTGTTTTCTGATTTACTGAAGTTCCACAGGTATTTGTTTTCGGCTCTTACTACTACCTTCCTGTTCATGGAGTGTGATCTTTTCACTGTGTTCTTTAATTGGTTATTCATTGTGTGAAAAGATACAATAACTTGTTATACTTGTATTTACTAGCCATGTTAACTGAGCATTATTATAAGTCCTAATATTGTTCCATTTTTAAAACCAAGTGGCTTGCAAATAAAACTCCCTGTTCCTATCTTCTTTCAACATCTGTTTATTGGACTCTGGAACAGGACTGCCTATGCCCTGACTCGTGGCTTTGAATTTGAGTTCTTAACCTTTCCATTGTCCAGTGTTCTCACCTGTAAGATGAAGGTAGCAATAGTACCTGTTTTGCAGGGTAGCTGGAGGATTAGCTGAGCTAATGCCTCAATTGGTAAATTTCTCTGTAGTAGAAATGGCTGCTCTGGAGCATGCGATAAGAGCAGCACTTTCGTGCAAACTGGAAGTTCATTCATGAAAAATCTGTCCAACTTGGGCCTTCAAAGAGTTCACAACAATAAAGGAAACTTGTAAATGGAGACGAGCACATGGGGAAAATTAAAGCTGAATACAAGTTTACACTTGTCGCTTTTGGTCAGATCCCTTCCCGTCAGGACAGTGTATGACTACACTTCTATCCATCGCTGTCAAAAGCAGGAGGCCCTGCTACAAGAACTGATTGCATTTATAGAGGGTTTTCTTTATGCCACACATGCTTAAACTTTATAAACATTATTTTTTAAAGTATTGACTACATCCTTATGAAGTAGACACCATTATTATTCCTCTTCCTGTAGAGATAAGGAAACAAAAACACAAAGGGTTTATGTAGCTGATCTAAGGCAGCACAGCCTGGAAGCTAGGATTTGTAGTCAGTCTGGTTTCAGAGCTGAAACTGGGTTTCAGGTTATACAAGGGTTACCCAAGGGTGTGTATTTGACTCACATGTGACACTTTTTCTTTAAGTAGAGCAAGCTTTATGTCTTTTGCTGACAACGATGATAAAATTGATGTGACCGTTAGCATTTCCTGTGTTCTTTAAGATAGTATTTTGCTCAAATAGATCTGTTATTCATTATATAATTTCAATTGCAATTTTGTGCATTGCTTTGTTATTTGATGAATTTACAAATTACATTGTCTCCTAATTTTATTATATTTCTTGTATTTTCTGTAAGATTTTGTTTCTTTCTGTTTTAGGTTTTTGGGGGGCAATATATTGCAATACATGATGGTGATGATGTTTAAATGTCTGAGAATCATTTGACTCTGTTTTTTCTGTTGATTTACCTTCTTCTTAAATTCTTTTTGAGCTAAATTTACTGTCCTCAACATCACAGAGTCTATGTAATCTTAACATTTGTGTTTATCTTCTACACATGTGCCACTTCTCATACTAAAATTTGTATCCAGATGTATCATTTGGGTACAAATTGTGTTTGCAGCTTGCATTTTGTAAAGAAATTTTCTTCTTTTTTTTTGTTTTTGTTTTTTAGTAAGGAATGATTTAAGCACAGTATAAACATGTTGATGAGTGTGTCATTTACACACCCTTGTGTAACTAAAAGCGGTGTCAACATGCTGCTGTCTGCCCAGCAGCAAGTCCGTGTGCCTTTTTTTTCCAATCAAATACATCAATTGAAAACATACACTAGTTTGACTTCTGTCTTCATACATGAGTTTATATCAAAAGGTTTATTTGAATAGCTTGCAATGTTAAGATTTAAAAATATATATATTTTGTGTTTCTGGTTCTAGTGAGGAATTACCTTAAAATGGACTTTCTGAGATATAGACGACTACAAATCCGACATTGTAAGAAACTGCTGATCATTAGAAGGGATCCTACTTCGCACCTCCCGTCATCGATGCATGTGTGTCAATTTCCCGCACGACTTTCCTACATTTAGCCTTGTCAGATAGGTAGCTTGCTTTTGGCCACTCTATGTATATAAGAGAGCTTCTTTCTAGGATCTTAATTTGAATTTTTCTGATGACTAAACATGCTGCCTATTTTTTAATACTTATTTGACTGTATCGTTTTCTTATGGACAGCCTACTTACCTATGGGCTTTTATTCTCACACCTTATAGGCTGCATTATAGGTTGTGATGGATGTGGAAGATATCCCATCTAGATCCCTCTTCAAAGCAGGACGCTGAGCCACTTGAGTGTTTGTTTCAACTGTGTGCACCTTCCTGCTGTGAGGGCACACCCTTCCTAGGCATGGCCACTCCGAGGGCTGCTGGAGGCAGGAACTCAGAAGCTTGCTCATACTGACGCTGTGGTCGATTCTGAGGCACTAGATATGTTTTAGACTCTCTCTTAGGACCAGCTGGGGTTTTCTAAATCTGAATCAGAGCTTGATATCTTCTCTTTCATGTCTTTATTGCGCTTTTTGCATGTTAAAACTTCTGACTTCCCATATGTGTCTAAAACCTACCACCTATGATCCTTTCTTTGTGGTCTAGTAAATTAGGCATCAAGAGAGAGCTGTGCGAAGAATCATTATTCTCCTAGCTTCTCGTGTAGCTTATCATGGGTAGTCCGTACAGTACAGACAGATTGCACCACTAAGTAGTATGAAACTGATATCAGGCAACAAGTTATAGAAAAAAGTGAATATTGAATAAGGAGGGATCTAGTATACCATAGTCAGGACTTGGGGTGGTAAATAATGGAGCCCTGAAAGTCAGACGGAGCACTGAGTGGATGCCTCCTAAATTTTAAGGGGTGAAACTCCTCTGAGCCTAACCAAGTATCATCTCACATGTTCCCACTAAGTTCTAGCACATCCTTATTAGGCAAATATCAAGAAAATGGTCCCATGTCGAGCACAATGGTACCTGCTTACCTGACAGCATCACCTGTCCTGCATACTGGATGAGCCTCACTGACAAGAGGAAAGACCATGGGATCCAGACTTGCTAAGAGTAATTGGGTTGTTAGATTCCTGAAATAACAGAGGTCCTATTGTGACATTTAACTTCCGGAAGCCGGGTAGCTATAATCAGCACAGAGAGTGACAGCGTCAGGGAACTGATCTATACAGACTTGTGGGGATATTGAAAAGACAGAGTCCTCTGGGACAAAACAGATAGATCACCAACAAAATTAGTGAAACATTTTCCAGGAGGGGGAAGATAACTGTCCCAAGTTAAAATCAAAAGTAAAAAAATAAATAAAAGGGATGACTCTTTTTCAAATTTTTGGACCTGATCCACTTTAAAGATCAATATCTTATTGTATCAACAAGTCTTTAGGTCCCCTGGAGAAAAGATCTTGCTGCGCTATGACAAAGAAATATGGTGGCAGTTCCCCTAGTCTTTCCCCAAGCGGAATTCTAGCCATTTGTTCAGGTGACTGCACTGGAAAAGGGAAAATCATGCAACGTTTTATATATAGTTAGAAACAAGAAGGTGTGTTCTGAGCTGCCATCGGCAACTGCAAACCTGAACCTTGCCGTGGTACTTCTGTAAGAATGAGGCACATGATGGCTGGGAGATAAATAAAGTCAGTGTTACCAGTGAGTGACCAGGTCTAGGGGTGCATGCAGTGACCTCTACGTCAGTCTGCCAGTACATGCAGATAGTCCCTAACTTACATCAGTTCCACTTATGACTTACGACATTTCAGCCTCACAATAGTGGGAACGTTATGCACATTTGGCGGAAGCTGAATTTTGATTATTACTCTGTTTCCTTTGATTATTACTCTGTTGCAGTATTCTCTCCTGACACTGTTGAGGCTGGGCTCTGGATAGAACAGGGGACCAGGAGAGGAAACAACAGATACTCTTCCATACACGGTGAAGCTAAGCTATGGAGTTTGATGGGTGCTATGGTTTGGATATGGTCTCATTGCGTCCTCCCAGTATTCATGTATTGGAATCTTGGTAAGGTTGGGAACTGGTGAAAATTTTAAGATGTGAAACTTATTGAAAAAAATACAGCATTATGAGTTGCAATGTTTATGAGAGCTTTTCTGACACTCTGAAATTAAGTGATTATGAGAGTGAGCCTAACCCTTGGATCCCTCTTTATCCTTCTTTCTTACCATACACTATCCCGCATGAAGGCATCTGCTCTTCTATGACTGTACTAAGAGGCTGTCTCTAGATCCAGGATGTGCTCTTTGGTCTTTTAGCCTCCTGAAGTATGAAGTAGGCAAGCCTATTTTATGTGTAAATATCCCATCCTCAATTATTTTGTTATAACAACAGAAATTAAGCTAATCAAGTTACAGAGGTATATTAAATGCTTTTCTGCTTTACAATATTTTCAACTCATGCGCAGTTTATCCCAGTGTAACCCCATCATATGTTGAAGAGCATCTGTGCTAGGATTGGCCGATTTGGAAATTGGTGCCATTCCTAAACTGTTTCTTAGCTGATAGGGTAAGATCTGTCAGAAAAGAGAAAGCCAAGTGCAATTTCCTAAATGGGTTTCCACCCTTCTAGTATCTGAATATTTACGTTCCTCTAAAATTTACAAATTTAAATTTATGTTAGGTAGTGGTGCTTGGAAGCTGAGCTTTGGGAAGATGATGAGTTTATAAAGCTGAGAGACTATGAGTGAGATGAATACCCTTATAACGGAGCCCCACGGGCACTGGTCTGCCTCTTCCAGCTCACCAAGACATAGTTAAAGGGCACTGTCTATGAGGCTCTCACTAGGCAATGAGTCTGTTGCAGACTTGATCTTGGACTCAACCTCTGGGACTATAAGAAGTAAGTTTTGTTGTCCCTAAGCTATCCAGTCTATGGTAATTTGTTATAGCAGTGCGAACCAACTAAGACACTATCCAAGTCAGGAGAGTTAATGCAAATCATATTGCTTCTCAGGGGAGAGAGTGAAAACTGGTGACATTCTTTAGGCTAGTCAAGTTTTCCACCACTGAGCTACATCCTCTGCTGAGGGTTTAAGAACTCATGGATGTAGATGTTCTGAGTCTTGTCACATATCCCCACAATTGTTAGGTATGGTCCTGACAGAGTGCAGATGGACTGGGACTTGGAAACCTATGAATTCTGTCCTACTTGGAGAACAAAACTTTTCATATATGATTAAATAAAAGACATTCAAGTGAGTGATTAGTCTGGACTACAAAATTGTAATTGCAATGATCTTTATAAAACAGTAGGGAAAGTATGAGAGGGGAGATGAAAAGTATCATGACAAAAGCGTAGACTGTCCTTGAAGATGGAGGAAGAAGCTATAAACCAGGAAACACAGGTGAAGCCTGGTAATGATAAGGAAATATCCGCTTCTCTCTGAACCCGTGTAGGAAACCAGTTCTATCAACTTCAGCACAGTGACACTGATTTCAGACTTCTCACTTCTGGACCTATAAGAATAAACTTGCGCTGTTTTAACCCAGTAGGTGTGTGGGATAATCGATTATGAAAGACATGGGTGACTGATACAAGGAATTTCTTCTGCTAACCTCATCACTTTCAATACATTGTAGTATTATTTCCATAGACTTGATACAATGAAAAGTCAGGCATAATTGGTTCAATATATGATCTTTTTGCTACCATTTTTTCCTTTATTTTGGTTGACAATAAAATGCCTTGGCATATTTTTTACTTTGTATTTTTTTATATTTTTTTCTGGATTACTTTCCTTGGCTTTCATGACCTGTAATTCTTTGGTTTTCGTAACACTGGGAATGCTTCATCTAACCTTTCTTGAAATATTTCCTTGTCATTTTCTCTTCTTATGTTACGGATCCCACTTATTTATCTATGATGCTGTTTGATGTTATCCTATCATTCCTCATAATTCCATTCTTTCTCCAAAAATTCTCCTTCCTTTGGAACAAGTTGGATTACTTTGAAATCATGTTCACTAATCTTTAATTATCCATTGTCTAAACTATTGTTGGTGAGATCTTTTCATTTCAGTTGTCACATGTTTTACTCCTAGAGATTTCATTTTCTTATGTATTACTTTTCACTCTGATATTCTCTAAATTTACCTGCACATTTCAGACGACCTTTTCCTGCAAATTCTTAAATGTTTCTCATACTTTAAGTTATTTATCTTGTAATTGCGTTATTTGGGAGATATTTAAGTCTGATTTTACTAGTTTTGTCTTACACGTATGGCATATTTTCTGCTTTTCTGTGTATGTTTTGTTTTCTCATGGTATTGTAATTCATACATCGGAAGATGTGAAGTTCGTTTATTTTTATTTGTAGAATATTGGCCCTACGTCTAGCTGGCAATTAAAATGTTGAAGGATTATCTAGGTCCTGTGGATAATTTGAGTTAGGGTCCTTATAAAATTTTACTAGAGTTTTAAGAGTTAATTACAGATCTGTGATTTCTTACTCCTGAATCTTAGCTTCCTTGTATTTCAGGAAAAGCTTGAGTGTTTTCTCAGAACCCTGTTCGACCCATGCACAGCGGTGGCTCATTCTGCCCGTTCTCATGGTCTCTCACTGTTGCTTCTGTCTGATTTTCCCGGATTCCCTGCAGGCGCACGTGGTGCTGTAGTCCCACGGGAATAACGATGAATTGAAATTCCGTTTTCTGACTCCTCTTTCAAAAGCTCCTTTCTTACTGGCTTATCTTTCCTGAATTTCTAGCATCTCTAGTAGTCCACGAGTTGAATCTCTTACTATTTGTCTCAGTAAGACTAATTCTTTCTACTTAAGCTGTATTTCTCTTGTACTTTCTGGACTGGGTTACGCTCTTGGAGGGAAAGCAAGCTCAAGAAATAAGAACAAAGTTTAACAGATTTTTAAAGCCTATTTACCTAGCTGAAAGCTATCTCCCTACTCTCCCTGGTACGCACGTAAACTCTGGCTTAGTTCTCGACATATGGGCATCATTTCAGGGCCCACTCCATCAGCAAACTCCATTAACTTCTTGCACTTGGCTCAGCTTTTCCCCCTTGTCCACCATAAGGACACACATAGCCTTCAGTTTCTTTCATTATCCCCTGGAGTGACAATGAGAAAACGTTTTCTTTCACTCTGTGTTCTGCACAGAGTGCCTTTATGACCTAACACCCTGGCATGTTTATGATTGTGTTCAAAAGATATGCCTATGATCAAACCAAATTTCTTCTTCTATGGAAACAAATTGTAATTTGGTAAAATGAAAATTTTGTGTGGTAATTCAGGTTTGTGCACAAGATCATAACAAACATTAAGAAGCTTGTATTTAATGGCTGATTTTGTTCTGCCCTACTTCAGGACACAGTTACTAATGATAATCTGTACTTGAACAGAATAATAAATCATAGTAGTGAAAGTCATTGCTGTGAATAAAACCAGAGATCCAAGGTTTGGATGTAAATTTGTACATAATAACAGACATACCAGTAAAAGAACAGAGGACATTTTTGGGGGGAATTCATAGTGTTCCAAATTTGTTTAGCTTTATCCTCTTATTAAGACTATGACATAGTAGTGTTTGTAATAACAATGAAATGTTATTTATTGCATATTTGGAATTATAAAACAACAGAATAAACGTGTACATAGATGCATTTTGTAGTCCATCCACCCAACACAGTTTTGTTGAGTGTACTGATCCCAGAGTATTTTAAACACACTTAATAGTTTCTAAAATGAAACACTGGTGCATAAACAAGTATGTTGCAACAGAGTCCAACATATGTGCAATTGTATACACATCAATAAATCATGGGAAAAAATAACAAAAGTTATTTTTTAAAAACTTTCAATTTTAGAGAAAAGCACTTAGAATAGTAAGCCGGTGATTCCTGGAGTAAATTATGATAGATGAGATTATGCTTCAAATATCTTTATTCTCCATAAAGCCCAAATCCCACTTTTCATGGTACATACTTCCTGGCCCTTGATTTGGGATTTGGCAACTTTGATTTTCTCTGTCAAGTAACTGTTAGTAGAGGTCATCTAAAATAATAAGCACAAATAT